CAACAGCTAAAACAATCCCAAGCGGTGACTTGATTTGCTGGAAAAACTCGGCATTTGTCTTCGGCGTCAATGCTGTCACAACTGGCATCGATGGCGTCGTACGGGTCGATTCTCCTGGAACATATCAAGTGGCAGTGGTTGTTAACCATCAAGTGGGGGCACATAAAATATGCCTGCAGATGATGAAAGGCTTGGACTGCATCCAGAGCGCATACTGCGCATTCGCTCAAAACCACCCTAGTTCGACCTCGCTCATGTGCACAACTCACTTTGCCAAAAATGATCAGCTGACCGTTAAGTGCCCGGCATCCCTCGTGGGGACCAGCTACTTAACTCTTATTCGCCTCGGAAAGTAAGTACGTCGACGGTATGTCAGCTCCATTTTCCTTCTTCGCATGTCGCTCAAACCTTCTAAGGAATTTCGAGCTTATTTCCTGTTCGATATTCAGTGAATAGTATCCACTTTTGAAATAATTGAGCGTACGAATCGAAGTTCGATCCCTTTGCCGTTGTGAAAATCTCGCTGCAACTTTTCGAACCCTTCTCGTATTACTCCAATTTGAAGTACCAAACTGTCCGTCCATATTTTTTTTCCCGAAGTGCTAGTCCTTCGTTAAACGAGTAAGAGAGTGGTAATTTTCTTACAAACTTCGCATCGACTTTGCAGATTGTGCAGCAAATAAAATTAGTGGAATGTAAGCGTGAAATCGATTTGAAAACTATTTGGCGATTCCTTTTTTTCTTGCCTCCAGAGCTGCCTTCTCCCGACAGATGCGGAATTGGTGAGTGATGAAGTGACAATCAGCTGGAGGACTCGTTTTTCAGTATGTGGAAAGCTGTTCGTCGAACATTGGTAAGCGACGTTGGTGAATTGCCCGGGTCTTCTTTTCTGATCGCTGAGCAGTACAATGAGGATAATGTTACCAAGCCATATGATTTGTCTGGGGAACCCTTATTCAGATCAGAAAAACGTTGATCAACAAGCCTTGAGAGTCATTAAAACACGCCATGAAGTGCCGGACGCAGCGCGTTCATTGCATTTAACCCGTTTACTTAAGATCTAGACGATGGTAGAAGAGGACCTAATATTCTGTCGGATGGAGTGATTGACAAGAGTTCTTGACCATGGTGGTAGACTTCACGCAACGTCTGACGGTTCGGTCACGATGGTGACCAGCCACAGAGAAAAAAGATTGCCAAGTACACCAGCGAGTGAAGACCGCAATTCATCGTGGCCCAACGTCGAACACTCAAACTTTGTTGAAGTTCTAAAACAGGAAGCCAAAAACTACCTCGACCAACTTGCCGACGTCCGACACCGCCGACAGCGACCGCACAACATGCAACGCTATACAGGTATCCCTGCGTCCCTCGTCTGCTCTAAATCACATTTTACTACGGGAATGTATAATTGCAATATGTCTTTGTAAACAGTTTAGCAATAGAGAAACTAATTAAACAAATATTTTCATTAAGAAGTATAGGTTTATTTTCTTAAAACGTCATTATAAAATTGCTTTTCCGTAGTAAGGTATTTTTCTGTAGGTTAATGCTTTGGGCACTTTTGGGTACTTTGGGCACTGTTTTGGGAAATCAAAAGCGGTCGCCTTTAAGACATCTTGCTTGTCATTCACGTAAACAGTGCAAATTAATTGCCGGTCACCTGTTCGATTGTTACTAGGCTGTCCAGTTTAGTTTTTTGTCATTTCTCTTGACGAACAATCATGTTTTGTGTGATGAACCTCATTTCCTCGTCAATAGTCCTACTGAGCGCTCCACAAAAAACTTCCTCAGTTCCCGGACTAACACGCAAGAAATTCGGGTCAGTGCTGAGCAGTTCCCAGATTCGATATGCTCTGGTTGCCTTTCCAAATAGGCGAGGCCCGCACTGGAGACACAACCTACAGTCGAGTATTCCGGCAACTGATGACACACGCGGAGCTGGCGGAGGCTCGAGCAATTTGTCGCCACGTGCATTTGCTGGTAAGTTGCAAAGTGATGACCTTCATCTAACCTAACTCTTGCCGAAGTCTTGTATTGCCTTCGGCGACCTAGTCGTTTGATTGGATGTCGTTGATGTCACCGCGTTTGTCGTTATGCATGCTGGATTGTCACCAAGTTCTGCGTTATGCAGGTGATGGTCATCCTGTGCTGCGTTGTATCGTTGGGTTCATCATGCAGTGATCCGATCACTGATCGGGCTGGCCCTTACTGGTAACAGACCAGCCAATTTGCTGCTGCTGATAACCTAAACAATTGCTCATATATGCCCTGTACTACACCGACCAAGTTTTTTTTTATTTTTTTTTTTACGATTTACAAATGGTTTTTGCAAGTTTTGACAAGCTCCAACTTGGACCCCCGCCGGGGTTCGATAAATACATGCTCAAACGTTTTCGTAAAAACATTTGACTGTGTTTTTCTTTTTACTAAAACAGAGCCGTGGTGAAATCACTTTTTGCGTGTTTTTACGCGAATCTGATTTTGGAGTGATTGTATTTCCATGTGGCATTCGCATTCACAGAATATGGCGCTGTGTTTCTTGGCGTACATGTATAGGGATATTTGACCCTCGACATCAGAGCTGTGCAAAATAACAACCCGAAGGTCATAGACCGCGGAGACGTGGACATGTGATTTTAGCGGATGTACTTAAACATCCTTAATGGTGACGATGATATCTATGGTTGTCCTTGCAATTGAAATTGAATCTGATTGTTAAGCGCAAAGCGAACATCCTAAGCGCGGTCTCCACGTTCGCCACCTTCCTATGTCCAATGCGCCTGACCAGTAGCAGGGCAACAGGGAACCCTCGCATCCTGCAGAGTGGCCGATTTTGTTTACGTAGTGGCAAGCAAAATGGCGACGGTGGCTCACGGTGATCCGAATCCTCTCAGCAAAACGGTTCGTTATTTTGCTTCTCAGAGGAAGAAGCTTTGGCAATGGAGTCCTGTGGTTTGCTCATGAACTTAAAGAGTGTCTCTGGAATTCTGTCCCCATTACTTTATGCTTACATCGTTGTGACACCGTCAAGCCTCGAATCGCCAGCGACGGTTCTAAGACTATTTGTGGTGGTTTCAGCCCTTTTGATTGTGGCAGCGTTTTCCACTCGACGATCGTTCGTCTTATTTATGTGAACAATAAATACATTTGATTGGGTTAATGTTTAAACTGGCATGTTCTAACATGTTTAAACCCGTTTGAACATGAACATGTTTGAACAGACCGGCAAACCCTGGTCTTTGATGAAGTGCGATTTTTGGGCCCGCTTCACGGATCTCGTGTTCTCATCGCCATGCCAGAGGCACTACGGGCGCCTGGATAAGTTTCGCCCCTAGAAGCAATTGACCAATCTGTTGTTGGGATCAATTTCTTGTTCAGCAGCTCCTTCGCTTGCTCGGAGAGTTTCCCACTCCGAAAATACTCGATGACAGCCACGCGCCGAAGGATCTTCATTTCGTAGGGACAGCAATTGATTAGGACAAACATCTTCTCCTTGATTGAGTCCATAAGGAGAATTACCGTCCTCCAATTCTCGATGCAGGTAGATATCATGCCCTCTTCTCCGATGATCACGCACTTCAGCAGTTGCGCCGTTCTTTATTGAGCAAGCTGATTAAGTGAGGAACCAGCATTAAACTGGGGAATAATTGAAGGAACCTGGTTAGACATCGGCACAATACACTATTTTTAAGCTAGAATGCTGAGCGAGATAACCTGAATTTGGTGTTCTCTGTCAAAGTTTTACGCTGGTCGAAATCAAAGTCACTTTCGTGACGAGATGGAAGAGATTTATAACGGTAAGCTAGAGGTACAGTGGGGTACGGAAGCTTGGACGGGTCTTGTTCTTGAACGATCGCTCGACTCTCTGGCCGCTTCCCCGAGTTGATTACGATCGCTCCAAAGGCCTTACGGAGCTTCTTCTTCCATTTCTGGAGAGCAGCTTCGGCCTCATGCGGGGTCCAGTCTTGCAGGGACATCGCCGACGGGTACGTCTCATTCTCGTACCTCAGTGCAAGCAGCAGCGAGACCGAGCCCTCCGCGACTTTGCTCGTCGGCACCGAGTTGACTGGGTACTGCAGCTCATGAGCGAGAGCTGACCAGTCAGCTTGTCTCTTGGGAATGGACTTAAACAGCTGCACTCACTCATCATTATTCATCAGCACCTGCACTAG